ATGCTAATAATAATAATTAAAAAGCTAATGGAGAGCTATCATTTGATTGTAGCCAGTCAGAAATCTAAAAGAAAAATGTCCACAAACAGCACTTTTACAGTGTTACCTCAGCTACGCTTTTAATTTGGTGGATTTATGACTCAACAATGAATAGATATGCTGTGAATGCTGAATTAACTGCTCTGTAAAACTGTAGTTGCTATCGCCAGAACAACTCTGTCTTTTTGGCTTGTGGATACCATCAGTGTTATCCATGCTTGTTTTTTTCCGCACCTCTATTTGACATTATTTAGTAAAAGGTACCTTTCATTTACCGTTTGTTCCGCTGACAGAGACACATGGCTGGGAGTGGTTCAGATGGAACTGAAGACTCTGACTCCTCTGCTGAAAGAGAACAGACCAATAGCTCAGAAAGTGAAGGGACTGTGCCCAAGAGACAGCGCCTCACCAGAGCCTCTACTCGCCTTAGCCAAAGCTCTCAGGGTTGGCAACATAGCCTATACATATGCATACATGTGTATATACACATACACACACACATATGTATATATATACTTTTACAGTGATTTGAAGATTCCTTTAATTTATTTTCCCTTAGATACTCAGGAATTAAAGCGAGCTGTGGATCACGATGAATCTCCACCACTGACGCCCACTGGAAACGCACCCTCCTCTGAATCAGAGTTGGACATCTCCAGTCCCAATGCCTCACATGATGAGAGCCAGGCCAAGGACCAAGCCAACAGAGATTCGGATAAAGATCTCTCCCACCGACCTAAACGCCGCCGCTGTCACGAAACCTATAATTTCAACATGAAATGTCCAACCCCTGGGTGCAATTCCCTTGGTAAAATATATTACTTGTTTTTGCCAAAAAAAGTGTTATTAAAAGTTTGAAAATGGGAAATATGGCATATCAGCAAACATCATGCTTATATTTCTTTTTGCTCAGGTCACCTCACAGGAAAGCATGAACGTCATTTTGCTGTGTCAGGCTGTCCTCTTTACCACAATCTTTCTGCTGATGAATGCAAGGTGATTATTATAAATCATCTTTGATATTTTTATCTTTTAGTTACTTTCTGATGTAACACCTAAATTGGTTGTTCAGAATACTTTACAATATTATGTGAATTTACTTTATCTATACAGTTATTAACCTAAAAACACTGGCAGTGGCTGGACTGTACAACTTTCTTTGGCACATAACTGATACTCCCAAGGTTGAGTGTAGTAACAGACAATTTCAGCTGTAGTACAAGTACATAATGTCTTTTGCTATCAGTAAAAACAGCCACAAGTAACACACTTCATCACTTAAACACGGATGTTCCCAGCAAATGTTATTAATTTTGTAGGTTGAAGTGGCCGGTATGAGTATTTGGCTGCCTGAGCCGTATCAGAGAGAAATGAGAGACCAAGAAGAGATATAATCCATGCTTTATTTATTTATTTATTTATTTATGTATGTATGTATTTATTTATTTGTCAGGTAAAAGCCATTAGCCGTGAGAAACAAGAGGAGGAGGTAAAGGCACAGGAGGACAGCAACTCACGCCATGCAACTCGTCACCAGGTAGGTCTGCTTTAGAAAGGAGAGCATGACATTGAATTTTAAACTTTGCTTAATTATCTGTTTATTATTTTAACTACTGTCAATAATCTCTCATACCAGGAAAGTGAATTGGTTATTTATCCTTATTTGTAGACACCAACACCGAAACAGATTCGCTACAAGGAGCAAGTGGCTGAGATAAGGAAGGGTCGAAACTCTGGCCTGCAGAAGGAGCAGAAAGAAAAGCATGTGGTACATCACCACTACTTTTGTTTTGCTATTTCTAAGCTTATTCCACCTCCTAGCTGGCGTGTTACTTCATTTCCTGCTTGCCTTTTCTCGTGGCCTACAGGAGCATCGGCAAACACACGGCAACACCAGAGAGCCTCTGCTGGAGAACATCACCAGTGAATATGACCTGGAGCTGTTCAGGAAAGCACAGGCCCGAGCATCTGAAGACCTGGTAATGATGGGGTTTCACATCTCCATAAGTACTTGCTTTTTAGCATTTTAGAATAAGATAAAAGAAAATGAAGCTAGAACTGGTGCCTTTCATTGTTCCAGTTACATTATTTTTCTTTAAAAACCGAGTTGTCACTATTTTGTTTTATTTATTTATTTATTTATTTTTTAAACTGCCAGTTTGTTAGCATTCCAGTTTTTTGATTGATAACCTCATCACACACATTGGACATTAATGTTTCCCATCTTCATGCCTGCAGGAGAAGCTGCGCATCCAGGGTCAGATCACCGAGGGCAGTAACATGATCAAGACTATCTTGTTTGGTCGCTACGAGCTGGACACCTGGTACCACTCGCCCTATCCTGAGGAGTATGCGCGTCTGGGTCGTCTGTACGTCTGTGAATTCTGCCTCAAATACATGAAGAGCCAGACCATCCTCAGGCGACACATGGTGAGAGAGACTGTAATCCCAAGTCATTGGAGTCGTGCTACACTTAGAAATGATTTTTATAAAAAGTTCAGTTTTGGCAAACAACTGTTGCTCTTATTACATTATTTTTACTGCACGGTGGCCTTTAAATAAGAATAATTTATCTTTATGAACTCACTGGTTTGGAAGTACAGTATATTATTTGTCTTTTCAGGCCAAATGTGTGTGGAAGCATCCTCCAGGAGATGAGGTGTACAGAAAGGGGTCTATATCTGTTTTTGAAGTCGATGGCAAAAAGAATAAGGTAAGAATCTTACTTAGTGAACACTGGCATTTTTTTTCTTTTTAAATTGTAATCAAATATATAAGCCACTTTTAAAGTAATCAAGGGTCATATCATCCCCAGATCTACTGTCAGAACTTGTGTTTACTTGCCAAGCTTTTTCTGGACCACAAAACACTTTACTATGACGTGGAGCCTTTTCTCTTCTACGTCATGACTGAAGCTGACAACACTGGCTGCCATTTAGTAGGCTATTTTTCAAAGGTAAAGAAGAACAATGTTCTCGTTTTTACCCACACAATGATTGAATTTATTTTCCAGAACAGAAATGTCTAAAAAGTGTTTTTTCCTTCTATTTATTTCTTTAAGGAGAAAAATTCCTTCCTGAACTACAATGTATCCTGTATCCTGACAATGCCACAGTACATGAGACAAGGCTTTGGAAAGATGCTCATTGACTTTAGTATGTATATATGTTAATTTATTCTATTCTCAATGTAATAATTAAATTGCATTTTAGTCTTTTTGCATAATGAAATACAGATAATTCTCTCTTCCTTCCGAAAGCGTTCATTGTGACTGTCCTGTGCTTTATTTAGGTTATCTGTTGTCTAAAGTTGAGGAGAAGGTGGGCTCGCCAGAGAGACCTCTCTCTGATCTGGGCCTCATCAGTTACAGGAGTTACTGGAAGGAGGTATTACTCAGATACATGTACAACTTTCAAGGCAAGGAGATCTCCATCAAAGGTAAGTGAAAGCACAAACCCTATAATTTGGCAGCTTAAATTATATGTTTACAAAAAAAAGCTGAAATTGGCTCTGTACTTTGTTACCAGTTACCAATTACCAGTTTAAAATAATCTTAATTTTAGCTTATATTGGCGTTGGTGAATTCCCAAAGTCCATCTTCTGTCTAGTAACAAGCCAGTTTAGCTTCTTTCGCTCTTAGCTCACCTCTTAAGCTATGTTTTTTCTGTTTGGCTGTCCCTTGCAAGTAAAAGATTTGCGCAGCAGCAGCTGCCTCTCATTGACAGTCAAGAGCAGGAAAAAATGCCTAAACCAGAGTGTTTAGAGAAGTCTGAAGCTTGAGCTTTAGGCCCTTAAAGATTACTTGTACATACACTGATCTCAGAATGTATATCGATGATAGATAAAAGGAAGAGCATAATGAATCCGCACAAGAAGATTTATGCATTTAATAAACAAGACAAATGCATACAATGAATATTTGTTTTAATATTTGCGTGCTGCACAGAGATCAGTCAGGAAACTGCTGTCAACCCGGTGGACATTGTGAGCACCCTGCAGTCTCTTCAGATGCTGAAGTATTGGAAGGGAAAGCACTTAGTACTGAAGCGTCAGGTAAGCTGGCTCCTCTCTGTTTTATTTATGCTTGTATTTATTTATTGAAATAATTTTTTTTTTGTATCAAATTATTTGGGTTACTGAGATCATTTACCTGTCTATTTCTAATATTTTGATTAATTTTGGAAGTAAAATTTTACGCTAATGCTGTAAAACACGTTTTATACCAGGCCCTGCTTTCCATTTCTATCTTCCTGGAAAAATTAGATGTGATAATCTAACTTGTTACCCTGTTTCTCATCCCAGGACTTGATTGATGAGTGGAAAGCAAAGGAGATCAAGCGAGGCAATAGCAACAAAACCATCGACCCAAGCTCGCTAAAATGGACCCCTCCCAAAGGGACATAAACACTGAGAAGCTCAGGCTACTGAAAACACTCGCCTCTAGCCTCACCAGCCACAAGTAGCCTAGACCTATGAACTGTCAATAAAGATCAGTGTTTTTTTTCTTTCATCCCTTTGACCCTGTTTATTTCTTCTTGTCTGTAATGTGAATTTTTTAAACACCTTTTTATATTTTACTGTCATTTCTAGCCAAACCAGCATACGTTCCAAGTCAAATGCTTTTTGTCAGCATTGTGAAACATGAGTGTCGAGGATTTGCTTTAAAACTGCCTTTGTGTGCTGAATGTTAAATGATGAACGGTCCAATGTGATGGATAACATTAATGTTAGATTAGAATAGCTACATTTGAGTGCATTTAGAGGTTATTTTTATTTACTATGAGAAATGTGCTTTTTGACAATGGTGGTTATTCTTTTTACAGTAACTGTTAGCATGAATCGAAACATGAAATTGAGCAGGGTGTACTTTTAATGAGTATGATTTATGGTAACACGCCTTTGGTTGGTATAAAATTGTATAGATCTTCGTCATAATGTCTTTTTTTTTTTTTCTAATTCCATCAATACAGGATTCTGATCCATTCCTTTGCTGAACCTGCCAATGATGAGGGGAAAGAGGAGATTTTTAATTTGCTGAGGATATAAAATAAAAATGTAACACCACTATATGAATGCACATAGAAACAAAACAGCCTCAGGTTTTTATACTGGTACAATCGTACCTTGCTTGTATGGGTTCTCTGAATCATGGATCGCAGTGGTCTTTGCAGAACGATTTACTTTGGGTAGAGATTCTGTAATAAACAGGAAACGTTTGACTAGGATGGTTTTCGGCTTGTACTTTGAATCATAGCTGTGTAATGTGTATTAGCACTTTGATATTTTTAATATCAATAAAGCTGCCTTGATATTTTGAAATATCTACAATTTACATGCGGTCTATTGCTGATTTTATGCTTACCACCACTGGAAATGCTTCTTCCCATCAGGCCCACAAACATTTCTCCTTTATTTCCTATAAAAATAAGAAATACGCAATGATGCTGTGATTAAATATTAGATTACAATTTCTGGAACTACTAGTTTTCAAAACCGTAAGTATGCTAAGAGTTCTGCTTCAATAAGGTCAAGCCACTCACGTCTTTTTACTTGGTAGGGTTTTTTTGCATCTGTGAAGAGATAAATCTATTGTCATGCAACAGGCTTTAATACTTATTATGAGACATAAAAATGGTGATAAGCAAAAAAAAAGAGACATGTTATGCATGGATAAGTTTCAAGGTTACCTGAGCGTTTCCCCATGAGTCCGTAGAATCGAAGGGCTTTGGATCTTTTTATTACACTGGACATTGGGCTGGTCAGGCTTGTCTGCAGTGATTCATCCTGCAAGAAACATTTCACTATTTTACTTCAAGTAAACTAGTTTTTATATTTAAAAAGTATATCTACATAAGAGTCTACAAGCAAACGCATTGTTAATGCAATGGTCGTCTAACATTTTGAGTTTTCTTTCTGTATCTTCTTTCAAATTAGTAAAAAAAAAAAGGAAATACAGATTCATTTGCAAAAATGTTAAAAATACATATGCACCATTATAATATGTGTTACTTACAAAACTTTGGCTCTTGTAAAAAAAACAAAAAAACAAATGCAGAATTTTAAAACACAGCTTTCAGACTTCTTTTTTTTCTTGTATATAAGCAAGAAATCTCAACAATCATCTAAGATTTTCTCTTCACCTAAGCTTGAACAGAATAAGTGAATGAACTCAATGCTTTGATATTCAAATTTGTCCATTGATCAACCCATTATAAAAACAATAGTGCTTCTCACCTTCCACTCTTTCAGAAGTCCTCTCTGCTCTTCTGCACTGCACGAGAATCTCTGATAGGTTTGCACCAAAGCACAAAAAGTCACAATAACCAGCTGGATCTTCCAGTTATCCATTGCTATCTCAAAGAGAAAAGCTCTGCTTCTACTTCTTTTTAATCAAATATATTTTTTATCCCAGCAAAAGCTAATAATACATTACAGATGATGTTGGCAGGAAGGGTTTTCGTATTATTCAGTCTGTGCCAGCTGCATCCATGGCGCCTTTATACCTCTAAACCCCTGCTACTAGACCCCTCCCCTCTAAACAGGACTATTCACTTGCCACCATTCAATTTATTACAACTCCCTAATTTATTGTATTGGAGTATTTGTAAAAGATCAAGCTTTTAAATTCTTTCCCTCATACTTTGTAGTCATTAAATGGGAGAAAATGTGATTGAATTAACATTGAAACTATTTTTTTTTTTTTTTAAATAGTTGGACCTATAAGACATCATCTAAAAATTTATAGGCAGGGTTCAATTCTAAGAAAAAAAAAAAAAACACCTCTTCAATATCAAATATTTACATTTGAGAAGGTCGCCTTTCATTTCCATCTTTATTAGACGTCTAGATTGTGGTTGGTCTAAAAATATTCTCCTCTTGCTCATTTGTGACCTTGTGATGTTCACATGCTTCTTTGATATTACAGAGGAAGAGGGCAGGGCACGCCGGCGTGTCGGGTCTTTGAATGATGCTTTGTAAATATACCCGTCTACTTTGAAGGTTTTTATTGGGTCACCAGTTGACTTGGTGAATGTTTAGCTGGGAATTTATTAAGCAGGAGAGCACAGCTGTGACCTCAAAGGTCAAATAGACTGAAATAAAAGTGCGTTGACTTATTACGATTTAACACATGTGGAGGCGCTGAAGGTTGTGTGGTGCACCTGATGGTCAGAAGTCATACACAACAAGGTGATGGATGAAGTTCTCAAAAATGCAGATGAAATTCAAGCGCAATGAAGAATGTATGAATTGTGTTACATGACATTTGTGACCTCAGATGTGTGGAAAATGCTGGCAATGTCAATATTTGTAACTTTTCCATTAAGCGATATGTCAGCAGGGTGATTTATTTTCCATCTTCTGAGATAATTACACTGTTATTAAACCTTTTGATACTCTTTACTTACTTAGCCATTTAAATGCTCTGTTTTAATGAAAGCTGACCATCC